AAATTAAGTTCACTTATAAGAAAATAGCCCACCCAGTCATAGAATGGCTCGATAGATCAATTAAACTATATAATTCAAAAGAGCATCAACGTCCACACCCTCAGGTGGAAGCAAATTTAGTGTTTTCGGATAAAATAAAATGAAATATGTACAGTGAACAAGTACCAAGTGTTAAAAATTAAAGTGAGGTGGCAGAATAGTCTGGAGAACAAGAATCAGAAATTAGGCAATCGGGCGAAAGACCATCTTTGTACAAACAATCGAGAATATCATCCAAATTATCGTCAGAGTCTCGGCTAAATGAAAGAGGAGAAGTAGTAGCATCCTCAGTAAGAAGGGAATCATAGATCCTCTCATACAAGGTTGGTCTATCACAATTAACTTGATTAAGCACTATCTCACTGCTGGATTCAGAATCAGCAAGTGGCCTCTCAAAAGGATATTCAGATATTGATACTTCGATGGGCTGTGTATCTTCATATGTGTAGATAACCTGGGGGTCAACGCTGAAATCAACGAAAGCTCGTTCATCGAGAGCAGGTGATTCTTGTCTAAATGAAGGCTCAGAAGCAGAAGAATCAACCAAAGAACCACCCCCTTCGGCTGAGGGAGGAGTGCTGCAGACTCTAGAGGCTCAATCTGATTAATCTTGCTCTGCTGTCCAAGCTGCTTCATGACAGAAATTATGTGGCTAAATTTGCGTTGCAATTCATCGATTTTGGATTCTTGTGCTTTAAACTTTTCCCGCAATGCTCGATTGGCGCACCGCAAGAGCTGATTTTCTGTATTCATCTCCGAGATAGACTGCTCCAAATCATCCATAAGTTCCCTTTTCCTGTCCCTAGCTTTCTGTGCGGCCTCACGATTAAGTATTTTTCTATGGTGCTGTGTAAAGAAAAGAAAAATACCTTCTAGCAAGCTTTTCATCCTCAGTTAGATAATCCAATTTGGCCCGCCTTCGAATACCAGCCGATCTAATAAAGGCGTTTTCTAGAACTTTGTGAGGACGAGAAGAATGCTGAAATATTGTGGGCCCTTTGTTTAAGTATATCATTTTTGAGGGGAGAGACCTAGCAGTTTGAGGAGGAGACATAACGGAAGACGAGCGTGGCGGAGGCGGGGAAAACTTTGCGATCTAAAACAAATATTTTAGTAAATCAATGCAGAAAAGCTAATTAAAATTTTTATTTAATGCGTTTTTAATTTATCTGTTTATTTTAAATATTTATACAATAGTTCATTATGCCTAAGTCCCAGACTCTTAGTCGTGAGAACGGCAGACTAAAGAGCCGTCTCAGTGGTACTCTTGTTTTAATTATTTTTTAGTCCTAAATGACTTACCTTCCGTAGTATCAAATATTTGCTCTAGGATAGCTTACCTGGATGGAAAAATTGGAGGTAATCTGTCAAAAACACTTCCTCTTAGATAATTTGTGCTACTCATTAATTTTCTTGAATTAACCTGATTTATGGTCAGAATTTGCGGTGAAATTGCTTATTCGAGATTTTTACTACGCATGTTACCATTCACAGACAAAATATTTTGTGAATCGAGACAATTTTGAACCTCTTATATGATCAGGGGATTTTCTAAAGTTTTAAATAGATACATCTAATGGGGCCCTCAACGCTTGTCATTTTACTTAACCAAATTGTATTAAATTTGGTGGGAGGTTTTGATTTTATTTGAAGAGGACGTATGCCCTTATTTGATTCGATGCTCCCTAGCCGGGCAGAT